AAAGGTAAGCCGGGTGGGCGGGTTCCCGCCCGCCCGGGGGTGGGCGGGAAGAAAATGCGAATGTCGCTCTGGCCGCGCCGCAGCAGCGCGCACACTGCCATGCGGTCAAGCCGATCCTGCATGCCCACAACCACCACCTCGTCGGTTTCTAAGAAAATCTCAGGGTGTGCAGCCACATAGGCCGCCAGCTGCTGCAGCGCCTGCTGCGCCCTTGTCCTTCAAAACCGTTCTGGCGCATCTTAGGGTGCTTTTTCCTGAGATCGAGCACCTTGAGCTTATCGCCCACCGTCAGGTTCGCGCGCTTGCCCTGAGACTTGCCCATACGAAGCGAAATCACGGCTGGAAGAAGCGTGTGCGAACGTTGTGGCGCGAATATGTTTGTACGATGGCTGCAAGAACTGCGCACCCGTCAAGAAGGCCTGCCGCAGGTGTGCGCAAGCAGTGACTGGTGCCCGCGGCAAGGCGTGGTGCTGCGTGCGCGTTGTGCGGCAGCGCACCTGCTGTAGCTCTATGTGTCATAAACATGTCCTAAACACGTGTCACCTTCACAAGCACAGTCATATGCTAAGTGCTATTATGTTCTCTTGTTTGTGTGGAACCCTGGAGCTGCAGCTGCACGGCACAGGCGCGCACGCCCCCCGCGGCTGCAGCAGCAGGGCCCCTGGTTACAGTGAAGGCGGCAGGCTGGCGCCGTTCGCTGTACGCGGCTTCTGAATTTGCTGTATCCGGGGGCAAAATGTACTGAAACGCATTGGGACCTGAAACTTATTCGCTGTACATGGTTTTTCGCTCTAACAGTGTTCGCTATAACCAAGGGTTGACTGTATGGCCATAGCGTGGCGTGCCTGTCATTTTTGTCTAGGAGGCCCGTCCATCCTGGCCCCATCACTGCAGAAAGATTGTCTGTCTTGGTGCCCTTGGCAACTCCCACCGCCAGTTTTTCTGCCATTTCATTGCCCACCACCGACACCCACATGAGACGCAACTTTGTAGATGTGAATTGTGTGTGGGCTTTGCTTCACAATTTCAAATATGGCGTGCAGCATTGATCGGTAGCGGTGCTCCATCATGTCATGCGGCGCTGCAATCATGTTGGCAATCATGTACAGGCATGACTGGCTGTCAGACATGATGTGCAAGTGGCCAAGGCGTATGGCACAGTAGAGTAGTGCTGACAGCTCACTTTGGTTCACATTCATTTCATGCTGCTGGGGCCCCGTAGGATCAAAGCACAATGACACCTCATGAGTGCTGCCCCGCGGCGCGTAGCACGCGGCGCCGAGCATTGCATGTTATTGGCCTTCTACAGCAGGGATGCGGCTGCCATCAGTGTAAGCATACGTCTGCCAATTCCTCGCCAGTGGAGGGGGTGCCCTTAGTGCAGTTTCCAGGTCAGTCATTGCCGGCACCTCCAGATCCGCCGGGGCCATGGGGGTCGCGGCGCAGTCCCATGCATTCAAGGTTCCTCAGGTTTTCTGGCAGGCGGGCCTTTGACTTGGGCGGGGCGTCGTCATCAGTGTCCATGGGCGTTATGAAGGGGCAGGTAGGTGTCATGTGTGTGCCACAGGTCTTGGATGCTGTCTGGTGTGATCTCATGGCCCGGCCGCGTCAGCGCCCCGGCCACCGCCTTCAAGGTGCGCTCGCAGCAGTTCGCTGGGACATATCTGTCAAAGCCTGCCTTGTTGCCCACCACCACCAAGTTGAGTCCGTGTTGGGGTGTGGATGCTACCTC